ATATTATATGTATATTAATAGGTCGTTTGATTTAAGCCTTTACCAGTTCTCAATGGCTCTGCAGCTTGATTTAGATGAAATCAGCCTCTTGATGCTTTCTCCTATGTAAATACAGCATATCCAGCATACCCTCTACTATTTATTCCAGGGTATTATAAAAGCGCATGTAAATGCACAAAACACTTACGCTTACCTACACACACACACACAGTCACAGGCGGGCAGACACTTTTAGCCTCTTCAGTATTGCTTGCCAGACAGAATGTTGTTGACACACACACACTCACACACACACACACACCCAAGTTTGCATATGAACAGGTTACACTCACTTGCAGGCTTTTTACCTGGCCAGACACTCACTGAAGATGTTTGTCGAGTTTGTGTTTGGCTGCTGTTTGTGTTCGCACACTCTGTGACATGCTCTTATATAAATATTCGCACACACTCACACACACACACACCTGTGCTTAAGTTTGTTTAAGCATATGTCTGGCTGCGATACGTTTTTTCTTTTTCTTTTCATTTTTTTTTTTTTCAAGAGCTTTGCTCTGAATATGATGCACTTATTTATATTTTAAATGAAAGTTGAAGTTTTTCGCTTTAAAATAAAAAAAAAAATGTTTTTAATTTAAGCTAGGTTTTCAGTTTGCTCAAACCAGGAATATTAGCGTAAATAGACTACTAATATATGTAGTACATCAATATTAATATATTAATATAAAAAAGTTCGTAATTTTTCTTCCTGCTGGCACTCACATTGAGACTTCCATTCAGACTGGATGCAGTACTCAAAATAATATCATATCATATGAAACTTCAATGAAACCATAGTAGATTATTAAGCAGAGTGTCAAATGCACAAAGATATATCGATGATTACTTGCAGAGTTGCATAAAATTTAATTAATATATTTTCTTTAAGAATAATTACAAAACTAATTAAAACTGTCAAAATGCCAAATGCAAATTTCTCCATATGACAAACTCTGAATGAAGGATATTAAATGATGGCATTTCGATTACTGAAGGGAAGCATGTGATATAGAGAGAGAGAGTGAGAGAGAGAGAGTGAAGGTATAAAGATTAAAATGCAAGAGCCTGAAAGTGAGTGCACATCTCATTATGTTCTGCTCTCCATATAAATAGATATTACTATAAAGTCACTTCGAGTTTGACACTCGAGGCGGAAGGTCGCTTTATTACATTTTGACAGTTCTATTGCAGTTCTATTCAAGTATTCTAGCTGAAGAGACAAAAGCAGTTGACAAATATACAAAATGAAAAAGTCTATGCAATAAATATGAGCATCAGCAGTTGCCCTAGAGGAAGTCTAGTGCTTTGATTTCTAAATATTTATATACACAATAAAGCAGTTTTAAAAGTTTTTCTGTTTTCCTTGGCTCTTCCTTTAATTAATCGATATTTGCTGTTTTTTTTTATTTGTTAGATTTTATTGCCAAGTGATTTGAAACCATAAAGTATTTGAGACTCTCGACTTGCGATTTACGATACTCGGAACTGAAGTCGAAAAACTTGGCATTTTTGTGTGCGCCCTCACATCCGTTTTGCCCAAGATCTATGTAGACAGCGCCCCACCCCGCCCCTCTGCACACTGCTCCAGCGGGCGGCACAATTGCACTTTAATGATTTCGTCTTCAACTATCAATATCCGTTTCCGTTTCAAGTTCATTGAATTGGCATTTGGCTAGTCCGCACTTGCATCTCGCATCTCGCATTTTGCAGAGCTCTGGAGAGCTGCGTACTGGACTGGCAGCCATTTGCCACATCTTTAGAGTCATCTGAGCGATGCTTCGGCCCAGTCGGCGGCAAATGCTTTCAACGGCAATTATTTGTGCTGACTCCTAAACGGCCAGAGCCGAGTTCGTGCTCACAAATTGCGTTTCAAGTTGAAGCCGGAGCACTTAGGCGCTGCCTGAGGAGGCGGACGGGCGCCTTAAAGTGCACTGCCAGTCTCTCAGTCCCCGTCTCAGTCTCCTTCTCAGGCAAACTGCAAACTGTCAGCCGGGCAGGATATTGTGTTCACATGGCCGCAGCGCAAAGTGTGTCAACTCTGAGATTTTTCTATGTGTGTAGGTGCGTCTCCTTGAATACACAAGCACGGCGCATTAACGATGGCCAAACTCGAATGAGAAATACTTATTCCACGAATGGAATGTCGCTTAACCACTCCCTTCCCCACCATCGCAATCAACTAGACGGCTTTTCAAATCAGCTTTTCTTTTGCTTCCTGCTTTGGCAATAATTCGCATGGCGCGCTCAAAATTCAAGTGCAGGCGAAAATCGAATTAAATAAACAAATGCCCAACGTGAGTGAAATACCAACAACAACAACAACAACGACAATGGTTAGGAATAAAAAGAGCAGCATAGCTGAGGCACAGTCACAGTCAGAGTCAAAAAAAAAAAAAAATAAATATGTACATGGTGAGTGAGAGAGAGAGAGAGAATACTGGCATATGAGATGGGCGTCTTGATTGTACGTGTTGTACACACACACACGCACACATTCCATACACACCCACACACACACACACACACACACACACACACCCCCACACACACACACACACACACACATACATTTCTCCCATCTCCAATTGTTGCGCAGTTCTTTTGTTGTGGCTGTTGTTGTTTTGGCTGTCGCGTTTGCCTTCTTGATAAGCATGAAATTTTATCACGCTTTCAATAAACTTTTTGGAATATTTGTAAAGCGTGGCGCAATGGGCAGAGCAAAGCGAATGCTTTAAGTACTTAAGGAATCATTTGTTTGCCCACATTTCTGATTGTTTCTCTCTGTGCTCTTCTGTTTCTAGCGCGATGTGCTCATACTGGAACCCACCGGCTCCGACATACTCAACTGTGTGTCCAAGGGCAAGCGAGAGGTGCGTCTTAAGTGAAAGTTCCCTATATATAGCTAACATATATCAACATATCCATAATCCATGCTAAATTAACTAACCAAAATTGCATGCAAATATTACGGCCTTCATCTCGATTCGATACTTATGCATTGCCTTCACATTCTCTATCTGTCCCATTACACACACACACACACACACGTACACAATTATTTTGCTTAAACATTTGTTTTCATTCAACCGAATATTGAATCGACATTCGGGCACCTGTCAAGAAGGTGGAATGCCGCAATCACATACGCGTCATTCAGCCAATGAACTTCAATGGACATCGACTCTACGTCTGCGGCACCAACGCGCACAATCCCAAGGACTACGTTATAAATGTGAGTACCTATATTTGTATTTGTATATGTATATATGTATTTAATGCATCAAAAATTCACTGGCCTAGAGCTGGCTGTGTCAGCGCCTAATTGTGAATGTCAGTCAAGCTGGAAGTTAATTTTCCAGCCAGCAACAAATTCCAAAATTAAAGTCAACTAATGCGCTTTTTCTTTTCTCCCTTCTCCCTTCTCCCATCTGCCTTCTGCCTTCTCCAACTCCATCGACATCTCCATCATCGTCTCCATCTCCGTCTCCATCCAGGCCAACTTAACACATTTACCCAGATCCCAGTACGTGCCCGGCATAGGGTTGGGCATCGGCAAGTGTCCCTACGATCCCGCTGACAACTCAACCGCCGTCTATGTGGAAAACGGAAATCCCTTTGGTTTGCCAGCGCTGGTAAGTCCAAGTCTCGCCCAAGTCGCGTAATGCCGACGGAAAGAAAAAAAAAGCAAAGAGAAAAGCAAGGGCAAAAACAAGCAAGAAAAAAAAAAAGAAGGGAAAAATGTCAATTGTAATAAAATTACAAAAGTAAAGTAAAGGCAAAGGCGAAAGAGAGAGTGTGCATGTGTGAGAGGAAAAGCGAGAGAGAGAGAGAGAGAGAGAGAAAAGTAGCAAGAAGGAAGGAAGCGACAAAGTTCTGTGCGGCTATGGGAGGCCAAATGGCAAGAAATTTAAAAGAGTCGCAATAAAGCAGCTGAAATTAAATTAGAGTGAAGCACACACACACACACACATGTACATGCACACACACACAGAGTCAAACACTTGCAAAGAATCGGCTCTGAGGCACGTGCTTACACTTTACGCGTAATTGTGTGCGTGCCTGTGTGTGCGTGCGTGTATGTGTTTGTGTGTGTATATGTGTGTGCCACATTTCGCCTTTGCCTTGGCAAATCAAATTTCCCGAATATTTGGCGCTAATTTGCCGGCATTGCTTGCGATCCAACTCACAGCGACTTCAGCATAATCCATTTCCCTCAACTTTCCACTTTCCACTTTCTACTTTCCTATACGCACACCAGTACGCGGGCACAAATGCGGAATTCACCAAAGCCGACTCGGTTATATTTCGCTCGGACCTCTTCAACTTCACCAATGGCCGCAAAGAGGCCAACTTCAAGCGCACTGTTAAATATGACTCCAAATTACTGGACAGTAAGTATATGGAATTGAAAAATATTAATTGATTTATCTGATATTTTTTATATATTTTAAAT